GTTTGAAGGTCTTCATCAGATTGTATATTTCTTGGTATTTCACGTACATGTTCATCAATCGAAAAAGCTGAATAATCAATCCACATTGTACCAGAAAAATGTGGATAAATTAATTGTGAAAAACGTGGAAATAATTTACGTCCAACATTTGAGCCACGTCGAAAGTTATTTGTTATAAGACGATTCATTAGAATCTTTTTCAAGGAATTTTCATTGACTGATCCTATATAAAATATAGATAAAAACAAATCTCAAATAAATAGCAAAAAAAATAATGTCATAAAATTTATTAATACCTTCAAGAAAAAAAATAGCTGCTGCCATCGGCCCAATAGTTTGAGAATTTAATTTAGTTGTTTCTTCATTTTTATTTTTATTTAGTGATATATTACTATTATATAACCAAAATAAATCACTAGGAGATAAATAACTACATGTGCATGGTGTTACTGTACAATGATATCGACAAGTAAAACGTATAAATGCTCTTATAAGCCAAGATATTGGTAAAATAAGTGTTATTAATACAACACACGGAATAGAAATAAATAATCCAAAACAAAATTTTGATAAACGTTTTAAAAAAATCACAACAGATGATTGATCAGTTGGATGTTTAACCGGTTTAATAGGTATATTTTGCATGTAAAAACTAGTGGTTTGTTGTTCATCCGTTGTTACTCGCCGTGTATAACCTATTCTTTTTCGATTTTGTGTTTTTCGAGGACGAGGCATATCGAGTGGTTCAACACGCTGTGAAGGAAATAGATTTTTTATTATTAATAATGATTGTAATAAAGATGAAGGTGATGTACAATGAATAATAGCAATAGATATTTGTTGTTCAATATGATTTATACAATAATTAATGTCAATTGGTACAGATGCTAAATTCGATACGATTGATTCAGCCCATTGACTGTCCACTTGCATGTTCTTCTAGATCAATAGACATTTTTCTTATATTTAAAAAGAAACATTAACAACAACAAAAAAAGACCCTGGAACTTTACTTGTTCATGTAAGAACAAAAAAAAACAAAAAGAATTTATAAACTAATTTCATTACTTCTTTTTTCCTGATGAAAGCATGTTTTTTCACCCTTTTTTTTTTAAATATATTGTCATTTAATAATGAATGAAGCTCTTTTCTTTTGACTATATTTCTCTTCATATACTCATAATGAGCATAAAAATTCAGAAACAAAAAAAAAATAATACTAATAATCACCAATGATAACAGGAGAGAGAAAGCAAGGTTGACGTATATACTCATTTTGAAAAAAAAAGAAGAAATCTTCTATTTGATAAAGAAAAATAAATGTCATCAACATCAAATCAGGATATTCATTAAGAAAAACAAAATAACATGTTGATATTTTTGTTCATGAAAATAATCATTGAAACGTATGATTTCTATATAATTTCGCTTTAGGATATTTCATTTTATTTTATTTTATTTTTACCTCGAATAAACATTAGAATCACGTTCATCATCAATGGATAATGTCGATCAAGACAAATAATTTTGATCGAAAAATCAATTAATTTACATATATCTTGTTGCTGATAATTTTTCATTGTTGTATTACAACTCTTATTGGCATTATTCTAAAAAAGAAAAATAACGAGCATACCACTCCAATTATTATGTCAATATGTTCTGTCTCGTTTGTCTCTTTCACTTTATTCAAGTTGGACTTCTAATAGTTTCCATACGCATGCATCTCAGAAGAGTAGCTAACCGAATGGTGCTAGATCTATCTTCTTTTTTCTCTCTATATATAAAGATATATATATATATCTTTTTTTCTGACTGATTGATGGTCGTTATATAGCCATAATCATCATGTGTTTCGTAGTAATGGGAGCATCAAAGAGCGAAAAGAAAAAAATGCGGAATGAACGTGTATTTGTCAAGAATTGGAGACAGATAGATAGGAAGAGAGAAAGGAAAGAATGGCTAACTGCAACAACAAGAATCTGATTCGATCAAGGTCGTTGTAGCGCATCCAACAGCAAGACAACAATCACGGATGATGTGACGTTTTGTGAGAGCATATAAGCAGGCACGCACGCACTGTATTTCCGACAGCGAGACACATGGCATTGTCATCGTCGTCGTCGTCGAACGGAATAAAGAGGAGCATCGATGCTAAGAAAAATGAATAAACAGAGCAAAAGACATATTCATGAATGAAAAAAATGTGATTTTCTGCTGTATATTTTTTATCCTCCATCTGCTATCTTATTTTTCTTTGTTTTGACAAGAAAAAAAATAAGTTAATAATCGCTAGAAAAACTTTACTTTTTTCTTATCTAATCTTATTGGGTACTAAGAATATTGTCTTAGACTAATTAGTTGATACAAGCTATTTAGTTTGACCTATAATATTAATTGACTTGTCATATACTTGTTTTTTTTCTTCTTACCTCAGCCAATTTTGATTGTAAATAGTGTATGTCAAATTACAAGGCATTCTTACTAACAGTACGAAGCTGCCTATTGCCGTGCGTGTCTTTCTTTCTCTTTACAACTCTATTCAAGTGGGAAGAAGTAATCGGAGATGTGTGTTTCTTCTGGATAGCTACTCGAATTGGTGGAAGTTGTTCGACGCAATTAAGCGGACAGCACTAGCACACTACCGTCATAACTTTGCTAGTGCGCTCGACGTCGATTATATACTCTTTTCATTTTTTTCTTCTCTCTCTCTCTCTTCTTTAGTATCGTTGCGGCGCATTTGCTTTTTGCTTGCTCATCACAATAACTACTAGCAGTCGGTTGACGTTGCCGCCGGTGTGTGTGTGTATGTGGCATCTCAGTTTTCACACTCAGCTTTAGTTAGAAACATCCACATATAAAAAAAAAGAAAGAAGAACTCTATCTTTTTTTTCTCTCTTTTTTTTCTTTCCTTAGAAATAACTCTCTGAACAACACAGCACATGATAGAACGATAAAAGAACTCGTTCCATCCGAGAAACAGTGCCAAGAATAACAATAAAAAAAAAGAACTGCAAGATTGAAAGAGAAAGAAAAAGGGAAAAGCTAACATTACCCTTTTCTTGCTTATTCTCATCCGTTTCACAGCCGAGTTAATCTTTCGATAATATATATGGCAGCGAATTATCACGTTTTTTTTAGCTTAAATTGTTATTTTATATTTGGAATTGATAACCCCAATTAGTTCTCAAAATATTTCTCACATGCTGAGTGGAATATAAATTATTTGACATATATACCTGAATATATCGTCTTAATCTAGGTAATTTAATATACCTACATATGTATAAATGCACTAAAACGTGCTTCGTTGTAAAATTAACTTACTCAACAATCACATAGATAGTTATTGCTTCATTTATGATTACTTTGTAGTTCTTAATCAAATAAACAATTTTTAATAGAAGTAATTCGATAAAAAAATAATAGAAAAGATAAATAGTTTATATATTCAATCTAAATGATATTCTTAAATAAACAATGTTTAACGTTTCAATAAAATAATAATCAATATGTATCCTTGAGATAACCATTTAGATTTTGTATAGAAAGTACTATTTGTTGTTGTTGCACGTGTACATCAATTTGTAAAGAATATATTTGTCAGAATACATACAGAACAACTTTTATTGATGTTTTGGATATCAGTAAGAAAGAAAGAATTAATGCAAAATAATCTAGAGCATATGTTCTATTGAGATACATTCCTATAGGGAGTAAATTAGTTCTTGATAAACGATGCGCTATGTAGAAAACAGACTTGTCAATTTGTCTAAGATTTTTGATTGAATTCTTTTAGTAGTATTCAAATGAATAGTGTCGATGGTTTGATAGAAAAAAATAATAAGAATTAGATTTACATGCTCGATTGATGTTGAAAAAACACTTAAGAAAAGACATCGATTCATTCATCAATCACTTTGTGCGTGTGGAAAAGTATTCATGAGAATATTATGAATTGAAAAAAAATAAAAAGGAAATATAGAAGATTGATTCATTTGTATAGAAAATCATTAATAATTTATTACATAAAATGAAACCTAAACAGCTACTTTTTTTTATATGTTTATTGTATTCGATCATATATTCACCGACTTCAGCATCTTAAAATGAACGACTTCCTGTCTGAATCACATTAATTCGGCTCTCAATTGCTTCGAAAAAAAAAGGATCTTTTCTGCAAAACGATCATGGCACTAAAAAAACTAACAAACCTATTTCCATAAAAAGTTAATTTAATAGCAATTGACTTCACAATTCGACCAAATAAAATTTAGCTTCTTGCCGACAATTGTAGATTTGAAGGCAAAGTCGATGAACAAAATATATATATACATATATATCAGTATTTTGCTTTTGATAATATTTCATAGACACATGAAGACGTCATTGTTTCATTAAGAGGTATTTGTGTGATGAGTAATATGTCGTTTTATGACAAGCAATGTTGAATTGATCGGATATCCCTTCGAGCAAGTAAAAACAACATGACAAATTCTTTAACCATTATTATCATCGTTCTTAAAGCAGAAAAGTTTACTCAGTAAAGAATTGATTGGCAATTATCTTTTATTCAGCTTTTCCTGAAGCGTTACTCTAACTTATAGATCGATTCTTGACAGCTGATGATGATTATATGTAATAGCACGCAATGATTATCTATTCAACAGGACTCCTAAAATTCTTTCTCTTAATTGATCGATTAGAAATATGTATCTTCTTTACTTCATGTAAGAAGGACATCTTCAGGAACAAAAAGATAAGTTATACATAAAATTGAACTTTCTTCAAAATAAATAATATCGTCGAATTTAATGAATTTTTATTATTTAATAAAATACTCAGCTAGTAACAAAATATTGATTGGCTTTTGCACTAACTACTATCGTTTTAGTTTAGTATCAACGTGGCCATCGTTCTAATTATTGTATCAAACATTTGTATCGTAATCGATTGATTTATTGTTAGTTTTTGTTTTCATAGTGTAACCTTGAATCACAATGGATACTTTAACAAGCACTCCTCCGCCAATATCATCAACAACCACAATAGATGGTGATAAGCTTTCAGGAAAATTAATTATTAAAGCTCAATTAGGTAATGATATTCGTAAAATGATGATTCATAATGAAGATTTGACATTAAATGGTAAAACAAAATTTTATATAAAAAAAAAAACAAAAATTTTTTTATATATTTAGAACTGGTACTTATGATGGAACGTGTATTTGCTGGTAAAATTTCAAATTCGGATGAAATAACTATAAAATATTTAGATAATGATGGTGATAAAATAACATTATTAAATGATAGTGATTTAACTGTTGCATTACATTTTCATAAACTTCTTCGTTTATTTGTATTTATTAATGGTGATGAACAAACAAATACGAATTCAACAGATAAAATTACTAAAGAAGATAATTTAATTGATGCTAAAACATTTCGTAGTGAATTACAACAAATTCGTAATTCAGTACAAACAATTCTTGATCGACTTCAATTATCAACAAATGAAGTTGCACCACCACCACCACCATCAACAACAACAACGACAACAGCTCCTACATCCACTGTTGTTTCAGGTACAGCACGTGAATTTGATCCATGTAAAAGTTTACAACAACAGCAACAACGTTCAGCTACTCCAGATAGTACAACATCAAATTTAAATCGTGTAGGTAGTAATGAACATCAAACAGCACCAACAGGTAAATAAAAAGATTTTTTTCTTAAAAAACAAATTCCATTTTGTCTTCGGAAAATAGTGGATACACAACAAGTAGAGTCAACGCATGTACACCAAATGCCACCTTCTACATTTCCACCAATGCAAATGTCAACACCTCATTTTATGCCAACAGGTTTTAATAATGATCAACAAGCAAAATCAAATGTATTTGGTCCGCCACCAACAACATTTCCTGGTATGCCACCTTTACCGAACAATACTTCTATGCCATATCCTCCTTCTGCAACCTCTATGAATAACAATACACCACCAACATCAAATGCTACTTCTACTCCACCACCTTCATCTGTTGGTCAACCATCTGGATTTATTGGTCAACAAGCACCACCTCTTCCACAACAAGGTGGTTTTTATGGTCAACAACAAGCTTTATTTCAACAAAGACCACCATTAGGAAATTTCAATGCTAATAATACATTTGGGCCGCCACAAACAGCACCACCATCATCAAATTCACAACCAGCAACAATTAATCCATCATTTATGCAACCACCACCATCAAATTCATCTCCAGCAACAATCAATCCATCATTTATGCAACCACTACCACCCATGGCTTCTCAACAACCTTATGGAACTTATCCTCCACAAAATTCATATTATAATCCAGTTCAGCAATATCCAAATACATCTTAATATTCTATTGGGTCGTTATTCTTCTTTTCATTTTTTGTTTATTTTCAATATATTATCTTTTTTTTTTCGCCCTTTGTCTTTATTTATCTTATTCTTCATATAGTCATTGGTTTGTTGTGAAGTGTTACATTAAGTCTTAAATATAGGACGAATTTAATTCTGATATGCTTTTAAAATAAATATAGAACAAAAAAAATGGAAGAAAAATATCTAGTCTTTATACTACTGATTACGTAATGCTGGTGTGTTTTTTGACGACAGAGAGGCTTTATGATGAATGGCATCATGCATGTGAAAAAAAAGGCAGCTTTTTGCTTTCTTCAAAAAAAAAACAAGCGTGTCTTTTTTATCGGATTGACTGGCAAGCAAAATTATATTCTTTCATCGAGTCTTACGCTGGGCGTACAACTCTACGTAACATGTCTCTATTTTCTTTCATTATTTTTTCTTTTCTCTTCCTCTTTTTTTCTGTTCTGCGTTTTTTTTCCTTGCATCGTGCATCGTACGTCTCGATGACGCATATTCACATACACATACCCGTTCTATAGAGAGCGAATACAACGGATCAAAGTACAACAATTTGAATACAAATTCCAGCTTGAGATAGATTTAGTCCTCTAGTAAAATTCTTAATCATCAGTTAAAAACAAGAAGAAACTATGGCTGAGGCCCATGAAGCCGTTGCATTTTCATTTACGGTCGGTCATGAAGGTATCGTGAAAATTATTATTATTTTTAATGAAATTTAAATCATTTTTATAATACTAGGATTTAATGTTGATGTAAGTTATGATGTATTTAGAGCTCTTTTTTATGCTGCTTATCGTTCATGGAAACTTCGTTGTCGTCGTACATTAAACTCATTATATAATTCATTATATCCGGGTCATCCATTACGTGGTATTGCATCTTGTGGTTTTGTAGCTGGTCTGTATTTTAAAGGTTATGATCCATCATTTCAACTAATTGATTGGCTTGAATCAAATGTATTTCGACGTTATTTACAACCACGTAACGGAAAAATTCTTGCTTGTATTGTTGTTGGTGGTGGCGCATATATTGTTTTTATACAATTGCGACAATATACATTAAAAAAATTATTTTCCTACCATGGTTGGATGTATCAAGAACATGGAAAAGATATCGGCTTAGTACCAAAAGTTTGGAGTGTCTTAGTTAAATTATGTGTTGGTCATAATCCATCATTATTTTCATGTCAGAATCTTTTACCATCATTACCATTACCAAGTTTAGATGAAACATTACAACGATATTTAAGATCTGTTCGACCATTATATGAGGATGCTGAATATCAACGTATGGAAAAATTAGCTGAAGAATTTAAACAAACAATCGGAAGAAAATTACAAAGATATTTATGGCTTAAATGGCTTATTTCAACAAATTATGTAGGTTACAAAAGATGTGAACATATAAAACTTTCTATTTTATTATTATTTTAGGTATCTGATTGGTGGGAAAAATTTATTTATCTACGTGGTCGTTCACCAATTATGGTTAATAGTAATTTCTATGGTCTTGTATGTATTTTATTAATTAATTAATTTTTTTTTTTTGAAAAATGATTAGTTGTGATTGAATTTTAAGGATGCTATTTATATTCGTCCAACAACAATTCAAACAGCACGTGCAGCTAATTTAACTTGTGCAGCTTTTCGATATCGTACCGAACTTGATCATGAAAATATTAAACCTGTATATTAAAAATTAGAAAACAAATACCAAATGATGAATTCTTGTGTTTGTTTATTTTAGTTAATGATACAAAAATTTGTTCCATTATGTTCAAGTCAATATGAACGACAATTTAATACAGTACGCATACCTGGCAAAGAAGCAGGTATGATTTTAGATTAAAATATTGGGGAGAATGTTAAATTAATCTTAAATAAAATGACTTTGAATTCAAAATGAAATTTTTGAGAACGATCTTTGATCTTCAACTTTGATTAGTTTAATTTAAATGCAAATTTCATTTGATGATTGAATTGAAAGTTAGAAATTAATTATAAAAACTATCTAAAGTAGAAAAAGAAGTGTGTTCCATTCGACAGTTAACATATAGAGTCAAAAAAAAACTGTATTGAAACTCTACGAAGTGATTCGACTATAATACTATAAGCCGATGAATTAAAAGTCTAAGATAAGATTACGTTTACATCAGACTTTGTTGTAACATTATTAGAAGGAATTACGATATGCTATTGCATTGAAACACACAACATGAGTTACGGTATCTAATAAAATGTGTCAATATTAGATAGAAAAGACGTATTTAAAAAACAAAGCAGAAATAAAAGCAAGGTAGCACATATACCGCTAGAGTGAAATTGATGCTACATATAACAGATAATACAATATAGATAAAAATAATTGATAAAACTTGATTATATTTCTATAGAGTAGACTCTGTTGTATTACAATCTAGACTTATTTTCCACTGTCTCTTGTTCTTTATATTTATCATCCATTTTACCTATAAAAACATCAAATTCGTTTACTTGATCACTGGTAATGTCAGGATTGTCTATAATCACAGTACAAGATTTAATTATTAATTCACTTAATGGTACTAGCAAGCTGAACGTTCTCTTGATTATATCGATCAATAACATCATTTGCATGTTTAATAACTCTCAAGCTGATATCCGATCATATTCTAATATGCTTATCACTGTTATCATCTAGATCTTGTAATGATATAGAGACTATGACTACTATTAATAAGCGAAATCTTAATATTGTACTGTAAGAAAAAAACCATAATAGAAGAAAAGGTATCAGGGAATATGTTCGTACAAGTCTGGCATGTACATATCATAAAATAAGTGTGTTAAACAAGCTTTAGTATACAAACGAAAATTGCAATACTTGAAATTATGCAGTGATTGTGCACACATACAAAAAGATAAAAATCTAATATGTATACTATAAACAGAGGACTAGTAAAAGATGATAGTGACAGATATATGATCATGCGTATCAATACATAGTATGTCAAAAGCACGAGAACACATTATCAAAAAATGAAAATCAATATAAAAAGACTCAAACTTTCAATCGAATTATTTATTCATTGGATTAGAATCAGCTTATTTTCACCAAAGTTTATCTGTATGTTCAGTGTTCCTATCACAAAATACAACTATATTGATAACTTGTCTTTTACACTGCTCATATAAACCGACAGACTTGATGCTCTCATTTCAGGATAGAAGCAAATCAAAATATATGCAACTTTAAACCATGATCTTCATTTTAAAATTATGGTAAACATGTAGTGTTTCTGCAGCAATACGCTAAAACAAAAGAAATCTTTCCTGGGTACTCATACCTCATTTAGGTGTAGATAATAGACATAGTCCTAATTCAAAAGTGATTTAGTGAGAGGACTTCGTCATTAAGCAAATATTTCTCTAGTAGATTGTTTGACATGTGTCACGAGAGAACATTCCCTAGTGTTTGATCGCTTTTTTAATCACGACTGTGCCCCAATAATAGGCTATGATGAAAAGTGTCAAATCTAAGATAGTTCGGTTGCCTAAGCAGTTATCAAATTTCAACTTGAGCTTCAGTTGTTCAAAGTTTCAAATCGAAACTCGAAATATGATTGGCCCGGTGGCCTGAGAAGGACTGCAAAATTTCGCTGAAAAAATTTAGTGAATATTCAATACATCTAGGCCGAAGGTTCAAATAATTGAAACGTCTTCGTTTTTAACACTACTCCTCATTCCCTAGTACAATCTCAATCAAAAAGTGACTATGATCGGAATACAAATTTTGATTTTCTAAACCATATCGTTTCTCATTAAACTTATGAACCATAAGTTATGTGTATGTAGACAATAGAATTGTTCTAAAAACTGTTTTGAAATTCATTTTTCATTAAAAAAAAACCTTTCTTTTTCTCTTTTTTTTCAGACAAAATTATTCATTATTCCGACAGTCATCATATTGCTGTCTATCATAAAGGTCGTTGGTATAAAGTATTCATGTTTTATAAAGATCATTTACTTGAACCATGTGAACTTCAACTGTATGTTTGATGTTTGTTTTAATATTATTGTTTTCTTTTTTTTTCTCTTCTAGTCAATTAGATGAAATCATTCGTGACACAACTCCACCAGCTTATGGTGAAGAACACTTAGCAGCATTAACAGCTGGTGAACGACCATTATGGGCTGAAGCACGTGAAACATTTTTTCGTTCGGGTGTTAACCGTTATTCACTAGAAGCCATTGAAAAAGCTGCATTTGTTCTTATATTGGATGATGAAGACTTTGACATTGGAACGGTAAGTTTTATTAAATCGAATTATTTTTTTTTCTATCCGATTCTGATTTAAATAAAAAAAAAACATTAAATTAATTCAGCCAAATGATGAATCAATATTCACAACATATGAACAGGGGGTAAATTGTTTTATATACTATATGTATATATATATATGTATTGTCTTATAACAAAGTATTAGGTTTGCTTTTATGCTTTTGTCTTTATTCTTGGTTTAATATTTAATGCATACTAATATTTTACTAGAAAATTTATTTATTAATATTATTAATATCGTCTTTTTTGTATCTTAGAGTATGACTGGAAAATTAGATGATTATGCACATGCTATTCTTCATGGCAAAGGATATAATCGTTGGTTTGATAAATCATTTAATTTTATTGTTAGCAAAAATGCTGTGGTATGTAACTAAAGAATAATCAAATGTTGAATTCATATTAGTTCGACTTTTTTTTTCCTTCAAGTTTGGCTTCAATGTTGAACATAGCTGGGTAAAATTGATCAAAATATTTTAATAATGAAGAATTTGATTTATTCTATCTAGGCTGATGCTCCAATAACTGGTCATTTGGCAGAATATGTGTTATCTGAAGATATTATGTATTATGGGTAAGTCAAATCGTTCATGAATATTCTATTTCTATCAGTATATTTTATTGACTTGGTAATCATGTATGTCAGGTATTCGAAAACCCTCCGACGTTATTTTCTATAAATACGGAAGAAAGCGTCAGTGTTGTTATTTAATTATACTTCATGCTACATTTCATCGATAGATATAATAAAACATCTACAAGAAAACAAAATAATATCTTTTCATCATTTTCAATTACCGTTTGAGACAACCAATGCTGGAGTACTACTCATCGCTAGCTGTCATTCCAATTCGGAAGTAAATGTTGTCATTTTAATTAATATATCAGCTTGTAGAGTAGAATCTTACCTATAAAATCTACTATTGAAATTTTTCTGCATGTCACTTCAATTTTCGTTTCTCTTAAATCCTCATGTTGATCGAAATTTTGTAAATAAATGTCCGCTCGATACAACAATTAACTCCAATATTAAAATTTCTTCATTAGTTAGTAACAAAAATAGACACCTTATTTCTAATCTCGAGCATAAGGTTCTGATCATCATCCATAGAGTTTGGCTTGTCTGAGATGTTGTTAAGTAGGTCAAGATGAGTAACCATTAGTACCTAAAAGTTTCTCTCTAAACTCTGGTTTTTTTGGTCTTTCAAAGGAACGAAAAATAAATAATCTTTCAGATTACAAAATTCAATTATAGAAACATTATTGAATATGAACTAAATTTTGATATCAACATTTATTTTTGATCAATCACTAAATTCTAGACGATGAGTGAGATACTTTAAAATAAATATTTCACTATCTTCTTGTGCTCATTTACATTATTTAATATTTTTTTTTGCAGACAAAACAGATCAATGATGTAAATAATAAAAATATGAATATTTATTTTTAGTTATGATGAACTTGGTAACACACACGGTACACCACGTTTTACTGCACTTAAACCAATTAAACTCAAATGGAATATTCCTGAAAATGTAAATGCTGTTTTTTTTTCTTTTCTTTTGTTCATTTTAATATTTTTATATGGATTTATATGTTAGTGTAATGTTATGATTGAGAGAAGTCTTGCTCAAGCTACAAAAGTATATAATGATGTTGATCTTCATATTTATGTTCAAGATGCTTATGGCAAAGGTTTTATGAAAAAACAAAAGTTATCACCAGATGCTTATATACAAATGGCACTTCAATTAGCTCATTATCGAGTATGTTAATAATGCCTACAAATTTTTTTAATTATCTCTTGTATGAATATATAAACAGGATTCAGGTCATTTCAATTTAACATATGAAGCATCAATGACACGTCTATTTCGTGATGGTCGTACAGAAACTGTTCGCTCATGCTCAATTGAATCAAGTCTTTGGGTTAAATCTATGGAAGATCCGACAGTCACAGTAAGATTATAATGGATTTTAATGGATAACATTAACTGCCCTTCATTTGAAAAGTTATCAACATCATTTATTCCAGTTAAGAGTGATAACAGTAATTGTGGATAATATAACCAAATATGATGACTCAATATGTTTTTAAACCAATCTATGTTTTTAGCTTTTATGATGCTTTAAATTCTTCGATACTATTCTCGAAAGCGAGGATAACTTACGTTGCAACCTTCTTATAGATTGTCTTTCAGCAAACCGTATAAGTATAGAAATCAATTGCTCTCTTAAGTGAAATGTGACATAGTCAAACTAGCCAATTAATATTTAAAAAAGCGCAACTTTTAGATTTCTGAGAGTAGAAAAGTATATCAGTTTTGTGACAGATATTTTTGTAATCAAAAAGTTTCTATGTACGTATTATAAGCCCATCATACTCTATCATTTGACAATAATAAGTCTTTTGAAAATGTTTAAAAAAATTGTTCGTCCTTGTATTCTTGGAGGAATTATGGAGCTCTATTAGATTCAATATATGTTCGATGTCTTATAAGAATTGAAAATGTGCTTATCTCTGTATACTCCTCCAAGAATCTCAAAATGAAAACTTCTTTTATCACTTTCGAAAGTTCCAAATACATCAAATTCTAGGACTTGATGATCTCATTATTCATCGATAGAAAATTCTTCACTTAACAAATATCTATGGCTAAACTTATATACTTTTTTACCCTTAGGAACCTAAAAGTAGGCGTTTTTTAAGACATCGATGGGTCACTGGATTATTACAAACCGTAGTTTAGAGGACAATCAATTGATATACTTATAGAGTTTGGTGGTACACTATCTATGAGAAAGTTGCACGATTTGTCACATTTTCCTCACAAGCATTATCGAAGAATTTTAAACATGATAAAAGCTATAAACTATATTATCTAAGAAAAAGTGGTAAAATTTTAACAAAATTTCATATAGATTGGTTTAGGGATATATTTGATCATAATATTCAGTCATAATACTCACAGTTGCTATAATATTCCTTAACTAGTATAAATAATATCGATAGCTTTGCAAATGAAGAATATTTATTATATACAACAAAATCCTTGATTTATATTGAATTGTAGAAAGCTGAACGTATAAAATTACTTCGTGCAGCTTGTGATTATCATCAACATCAATATCGAGATGCCATGAGTGGCAAAGGCATTGATCGACATCTATTTTGTCTATATGTGGTATCGAAATATCTTAATCTTGATTCACCATTTCTTCATCAAGTTCTTCAAGAACCTTGGAAATTATCTACCAGTCAGGTAAGTTAAAATCAGTTTTCCTTTACATAAAACAAAAGGAAAAAGAAATTTTTAATCAAATAAATAAATCTAAGACGCCGACCGTTTATGATGATCAACGTTTAACAAAATTCATGAGTCAAAGGTCAGCATTGGCAGAAAAAATTGGATTGGATAGAGTGAAAAATATTGCAGCAGCTGGTGGCGGTTTTGGACCAGTGAGAAGAATGAATGTTTATAAACTTAATAATTATATTTTTTTAAATTTTGTTACTATTGCATGCATGTTTGCACGATTTATTTTTTGCTTGTTAATACCTTCTTTTTCTTTTCTTTTTACATATCTAACAGACGCCTGCTTTCTATGAAGAACGATATCCCCAATTTGATCGTCAAAAGAAAGGAGTCATGGCTGGTGGTGGTTTTGGTCCTGTGAGTTATTTTGTTTTAGCTTAAATTTTTCTTAGAAAAAAAAAAGTTATCGAGTGTATTCAATTAGATATAAGCATATAGATCGAAAGTATCATAATTGTTCAATTTGAAACTACTTTGTCGTATACTTATATATTTGATTTTATTAGGTGGTACTTTAATGTTTCGATTGTGCAAAAGAATACATAGAGCATCTTGTAGATATATACAAGAATAACTTGCTAATGTTAGAACACTTAAACTTTAAAATTAGAACAAGGGATTAAAATTTAACATTATCATTTCCTAATTTATCATTTGATTGTTATCGCAGATCTTTTTGCATGACAATTCTAATTATTTTCTAATATCATATTTAATGTGCACTATGTCAGTCATCAACTAATAATAGTTTTATAATTGATTGGTCGGGCTATGTTCTGATGGCCATTCGATCATGGTATACCGATAGTTATTCTCAAACCGACAATCTACGGCCAGTATACAGTCAGCGATTATAGGTACTCTAGTATATCAGCAGATAGTATTGATGTGAATCTAGCACGACGAGAAGCAACCATGATGGAACTAAGTAAGCTCGAAATCTTTAACGTTTGAATTTACGTGGTCTGAACTTGCATGAGGATTCTCAGCAAAACGTTTCGATATTTCGTGTTCCTCATCTGATCTCTAAAATTCAAATGCGAAGGATTTTCAATCAACTTAAATCCGTCGTGCTAACTTCGAATCAATGGCGGTCGTATGAACAAATCCATAAAAAATTCAGAAGTTTTGAACAAAGTCTCTTTAAAATATGAAGCTTTGAAAACAATGCGTGGTGTCTACACAGTATCCATGGAAAAGGACTATATCTTGGAAGTCTCATATTACGAAGAGACTTTGTTTAAAACTTCTAAATTTCTTTATCGAAGGAAATTTAGTTAAGTTCTATATACACAGAAAGTTTAAAATCAAAATTCGATAGCTTAATGAAATATCCATAAGAACTCAAATCATCTTAGAATTTTTATTAGAACATAGGCAAAAAATCACTCAGAGTGGAATAGAGTAGCTGAAGAGGTTCGCTCGTAACTATCATGATCATGATCAGGAGTGTCGCTAGCCAGACCAGAATGATCTCTAATCTTGAAAACTTTTTGATTTTTTTTGCTCCCCAATACCTGAATGCGCTATACTTGATTATGAACACAGATCTCTGCATGCTTTTGCTTATAATTATTGTCCGTTCGCTGTATCTCATTATTTGAAAATTTTATTGTTCCAATTCTAAATTTTTATATTTACAGGTAGCTGCAGATGGTTACGGTGTGAGTTATATAATTACTTCGGAAGATCTTATATTCTTTCATATTTCATCGAATAAATCATCACCTGAAACCGTAAGAACATTGCGTTTGTTTTTTTGTTTTATTATATATTTTTGTTTTTAATTCATATTCTATTAAGGATTCAATACGGTTTGGTAAGCGTATTCGACAAGCCATGGATGATATGCGAGATTTGTTAGAAGGGCAATCTAGTAATGCTAGCTCAGGCGTAAATGGAAAGAAATTTTCAAATGTTGCACCATCAACTGACCAACCAGCTTAAATTATTTCGTTTTGTCTTATTATACAATATTGAAGCTTTACATATATTACTTTCTTGTGACTATATACACGAATCTTTAATGCATGTTACAACTCGTTCATATTTGAATGTCTTGTTTTTCTTTTTTCAATTATTGACATTCAACTTTTTTTCACATTAACGTATGCACGATGTTAGAAGAAGAAATAAAAATAAAATAAAACTATGTACTTTGAAATATTCTTTTGAATCTCTTTAGTCTTTAGGTTGATTTTTAGTGAAAAACCTATGAACACAAGTATTATAACAAGTTATTGACAAGTAATTTGATTAAATGTTTGTTTATTTGTTAACCTGCAGCAATTTGTATTCTTTTCAAATATTTTTTTAGGACTTCTAGTTTAACAGTTATGAGCAAACTTTTTTCAGGTTCGTAAATTAAATTTAAACGAGCTTCATCGCGTTAAAGTTTAAGGCAAAATTATTTGAAATACAGCGAACGAAAGATAAAAAAATTCTCTATTAATATAGTATACTGATGATTAAGTCATTTTTTCGGCAGTGAATAATCCGGGTAAGGTAAACCTTGTTAATTTAGACAATGTTCTCGATTTTTTGTGAAAAACAGACTTATAAAGTAATTTCCACTATTGTTGAATGATTGTTCTGAAAATCTCAAGTCTTATATCACTTTCTGCAGAATAATTTCGTCTTTATTTCTAAGCAAAAAAATCGATAACATAACGTATGCAGTAAAAGAGGCTATCGCCGTAAAAAAAAATAGGCGTAAATTCTAGAAACATGTTGAGCCTATATTCTTATTTTTTTAGAAGTATTTCTACCATTAGATGAACTTGTTTAGAAAACGCTTTTGATAGAAAATGATTTTAACTAATCAAATCTTTTCTCTGTTTTTAGCTGCCATCGTTACGAAAAATAGTTGAATATACTTCGTTGGTAAACTATGTGCGCCATGTTCTATGGAAATAAGATTCTTTAAAAATATTTGACTATTGAAAAAATATTTATTAGTATTTTTATTGTAGAACATCAAGATTTTTTACAATTGAAATTTTTGAATTCATCTTTGGTTTCTTTTTCTTATTTCATTTATAATTTGGACGTTATTTGTTTATCTTGACTATTAATTGCATTAAGTAATGAAGAAAAAAGACGAGCAGCATCAACAGCAGTACCCCATGAAAGTGAAATACCATTACCACCATGACCATAATTATGAACAACCTACAAGTATTGTATGAAAAAAAAAACTCTTTCTAAAGAAAAAATATTTTTTTACCAAAAGTTTTTTATTTCCATGTTTAATAATTTCAGTTTCAACTCGAATTGGTTCACGATTAGGTCTTAATCCAGCCTAAAATCATAAATGATTGATCAGAATAAAAACAATAATAGAATATTCGTTTTACCCAATCCCAAAGAAATTCAGCTTTCTAAAAAAATAAAACAAAAAAATCTAACTTCTATTTTAAAATTTAAATTCAAATTACCGCTAAACTTGGACATAATCGAAGACATCGTTGCCATATACCATCTTTATCATTCAAATCAACTTGTGTATTATCATTATCTAATTGTCGAGTACCACCAAGTACTATTGTTTCATGACTAAAAGAGATAAATCAATAAATAAAATGTTAATTTTCGAAATAATTACTTTGGTATCATATAACAATTATCATCTGTATAATAAAAATGTTTAATCCATGGTGCTCGAACACGAATCATTTGACCACGTATTGGTCGCATTAAATTATCATTACATAATTCTTTAGCTCCAAAGCCAGTACAATTGACTACAATATCGTAACTTTCAGCTAACTATAAACATCATATAAAACAAAAATTCAGAAATAAATAAATAAATCAATAACAAACTTCTTCTAATGAATTGATCTTCTTTTGTATAAATGTTACTTGTTTTTCAGTTAATCTAAAATTTTATTTTAATTTCAAGTATATTACATAAATGTTTTAATCTTACAGTTTAGTTAAATATTTCATATATTTACGTGTATCAACATAAAATGTTGTACTAAAATAGCCATCTCTTTATAAATGAAAAATAGATTACAGTTTTATATATTGTTAAATATTTTTTAAAATTAAATCTTACTTATAATGGTCAGGAAAAATATCTAATTCATGTTTTGTCAAATGACGAAAATTATAAATAATATCTTTATATGATGGATCTGGTCGTGAATCATTAAATAATTGATAACCTGATACTTGTGAAATACCAGCTTCAGCAGCAACATTCGAAAATACTAAATTATTGAAATAATCGAATGATGTTTGACACCATTTTCTTTATTTTTTTCAATAAAAAAAAAAATTGAAGAATATAAATAAAATACATTTAGCATTAATAATACCTAAGAAGAGATTTATCAACACCTTGAATAAATTGATCATCAGGTCGAAACAGACCACCAGCACCATCACTAGTTGTTGTATCAAGAAATCGATCAGCAATAATTGTTAAAGATAATGAAGGATGTTGTAGTTTTATACATAAAGCAGTCGATAAACCAACGGCTCCAGCTCCTACCACACATACGCGTGCCATATTGACGAAGGTTCTTATGAAAATTTTTATCTAGAAGCACTAAGAATATATGAGTCGTTGGACTGCTATCTTTTCTGCGCAGAACAAAAGGAATAAAACAGTTGGACGGCAAGGCCTAGCAGAAGAAAGAAAAAGAAAGAGAAGACGTGTGCTAGTTGCGTTCTTTTTCTTTTCTTAATTCGCAAAAATTTCTACGCATCACTACTGTTCTATGTTACAGGCAAATATAATATTTATTTACTGCGATTATATTAAAAAAAAAAAGAAAATGTTTTACTCGTTATTCGTTTTTACAGATAACCAAAGTAAAAGAATAAATGTTTTTTTTTCCTCAAGCTTTTCAAATAGATCATCCTTTTGTTTCATTAGAAATTTTTTCTAGAAAGAATTCAACAGAAGTGCAATATTGTTTAAGATTAAAGACAGTTAATGCTGCATGTTACTACTTCAATAATGTTATGAAATAATAACAGTTATTCACCCAATTATTAAGTCACTGCACCTTACATTTACCGCTTAGTGATGAGAAATGCTTTTCGTGTGAGAGAAAATTTGTTTTTTCTTTATATATATGACGAGACGAAAGAAAAAAAAACAAAAACGGTAGTCTGATAATGTCAAGCTTGAATTATAGGTGTATAAAATTTCAGTAACTCACAACGATTCTTTATGAATTATTGTCAGTAGCTTGGAATTAAAAAGTATACAGATATGCTAATTGCGAGAGTTCAACTGGACATGGTTTGTGTAACAATTGATTTAGTAACTGAGGAAGGATCCACCTAAAATGTTTCAATAATTTTGAGTTTCTTATATTCAGAATATAGATAGAAGATCACAGGACTAGAATAATCTGAAAAGAGTTCAGACCTATAGACATTCTCTACAGAGGTGCAATGTTTTCGCTAGATTTTAGCCATCTTAGACAAAAAAACTGAACTAAGAGTTGAAATAAATATTCGTCAATAAGTAGATTTCATAATCTTAAAAATATCGTTTCAATTCAAAAGATTGTTTCGTTCGTAAGATATTTACTGTTCGGAAATCGATTAAATTTTAGAAACGATCCAAAAACTCGTCAGTTATTTTGAATATATCAAGAAGGAAATAATAATTGTATTTCAAACTCTTATGGTATTCTTTTCTCAATTTTCCTTTTAATATTCTATCATCTAATGCTTCAAAACCAACAAAATTGTTATACTATATAGAAGATGATCATAGATCGTATATCATCTTTAGATTATTTTAGACTAAAGAATCTCGTCATAGAAAATCTTGCCTTTGGCCAGTTCTCTTTTATACGAGTGGCAGTTATATTTGTAAACTCTAATGCATGTAAAAACGCTGATTAATCTTTTTATTCAAACATGTCAAAGAGAAATTACTTACGAGATGATATTCTCAACTGATGAGTCGCTTTATTTTAATGAAAGCTACTGGATTATGAACTATCGATCATGTTGATTCAAAATGAGAAATCTCCTTAGATCTTTCTATACTGTTTTTTTAGATTAATAAATATTTTTCCATAATCTTTTTTTGATCTACATAAGTTACAGAATATATTGAATAGTCTATACAAATCAATAGCTTTTTCTATTTTCAAAAACGAGTTTCAGCTAAAACAATATTATTTTGAAGATTCGAGTGTTTATCTGTTGTATGAATTAAAATGGCTGTTTTTCTAGACAATTTGATAAGCTCTACAATCTGAACTGATCGAAAAAAACAACCTTTATCAAAAATTTTGTTAGGTGAATCTTGTATTGTACAAAAACATGATAGGCTATGTTTGTTATTAAATTAAAATTAACGATTCTCTTTGTTTGATATGAGTAGTATAATATGATGAGGCATTTTCTTTTATCAAATGTTTAATAATTAAACTTTGTGCAAAATACAAAACAGACCTGCTTGCAATTTTATTTAAACAAAAAAAAGAACAAAACTTTTTTTTAACATGTTCTTAATTGCTGTAGTTTTTCAATGGATGCAATCCAATGTAACCGAAGACGATCAAGTTCAGCTATGATTGTCGAACAACGAGTTTCAATTTCAGATAATGTTTGAGAAAATACTCCTTTATATTTCTATGATAAACAAAACAAATTTATCAAACAAAAAAGAAAATTAGAGGAAAAAAGAAGAAAAATTTCAACCTGATAAGCTTGATTACGTTGTGTTATGGTTTCCATTTGAGGTAATGTTGTCTTTTGTGTTACAATAGAAGCTGATGTTTTTTGTCGTTGACTTGCAGCTGATGAATGTTTCTTTCCTGCCATTGATGATTCGCGTCGTCGATTCAATTGATCATCCAGTAAGGGTAAACCTGTTCAAAACATTGAAATAAATATTTATTACAAACAAGATGAATAAGAACATTTATGTGATGCGAATAACTTTGCAACAGTTTTCTCTCTAGAGCGAGACTTGGATCAAAAAACCTAGCCCCGCATGTCTATACTCGTGACAAAAGGCTAGTGTTACGTCGACTTGTCTCTTTGCTATTTAAGTTTCTCATATATACCTATTTACTATCTTGTGAATACCAATAAAACAATATGATAGAACTTACGAGTGAATTACCTTTATTGTAAATAGCCGTTTGAACTTATATTAGGCCAAAAGAAGATCTTGTTAAGGTTAGGAAAATACTAAAAGGACTCCTTCCCACAGGTCTTTGGAGTCGAGTTATGACCGCTTTATTAAATTTTCGACCATTTTTAGATATTTACTGAAAAAATCAAGTAACGAAATCTTGATCTGAAATTTACATCATTGATAGGTTCAATAATTTATAGAATTTCCGGAAAATTTCAGCGAAAAACACTGTTACTTTGTCGAAATATTAAATTTTCAAAAATCGTTGTTTGCCAGAGACATTTTGCAAACATTGAGTTTACCTGAAAACTCAATATCTAAAAAATGAAACACTATTTTCGACTGCAGCTTTCTGAATATTCTAATGGGATGAAAATTCAGTAAAACGACCATGACTCAGCTTCAAAGACCTATGAGGATGAGTCCTTTTAGTTTTTTCCTGGCCTTACCAGCACTTCCTTTAGGTCACAATATATGCTTGAGCGGCGGGTTACAGTTGGGGTAGTCATTTTCATCCACTTTTAAAGCTATGTCTGCAAAAATTTTGAGTTGTCAGAAAACTGCCTAATAGATGTAGGAAGGTAGCTTTCGGCGAATGTTTAGCCTCTTGCTCTTCTAAAAATTATCGAGAGTTCTGATCGCTTTCTTGTCAGTTTATGTAATAAGTATCCTATTGGATAGTTGACGCAAAACAATAATCATTACAAGCATGTTCCAAGTGATCCTATATCTTCGTACTGTTGAAGTTAAACAATTCGAAAAATCAACATACCTGGCCAATGACCTGGCTTTCTTTCAAGTATAGGTGTTGGTTCTACATCTTCCAAAGGTCGTCCTGCTTGTTGACGTCTTATTAATTCGTCAAGAGGTTGTTTTACAGGTGGTAATTCTAAATATTGATAATTATTTTTATTCATATGAATAAAAGAGTATGTTTCTAAAATACTTGTTCGTGTTATTTCATCAGCTGTTAAAATTTCATCAAAAAGAATTAATAAACGTTCAGCATTTGTTGCTAATGCATCAATTGTTGCTTGTCCATTTGTTTGAATATCTTCCTAAAAGAAAAACAACAAGAACATATGTTTTCCTAATTTAATTTTGTTTATGATTATTTACAATTGTATTCGATCGAAATTGAATAATCGTTTTTTGCAGTTCTTCTTGACGTTTTTTTTCTCGATTATTTATGTCTTCTAAATCATGTTTTCGTGATGGATGACCAAGTGTTGGACGAAGTTGTTCAAAATTTTTCAATTTTTCTTCATTACTTTCATTTAATTTCGTATCAAGTGTTTCATCAAATTGTTGTTTAATATCATTAAGAACTTTTTCGGCTTGTTGAATTTGTTCATCTAGTTCAAGTTTAGCCATTAATGATGATGTACGTTCAATCGATTCAAGCATTTCACGAAATTCTACAAATGGAAAAATATTTGCGTTTTTTATTAAAAATCGATGAAAAAAAAACCATTGATTGAGTGTTCATGATAAACACGACATTGCTCTTCATAACTTTTTAGTTTTTCAATCATTGTTTGAACATATTCATCAAATTTTTCACGTAATGCTTGAGGACGTGTAACAGGACGAGGACCTTTTTCTTTATAGTAGATCTATTGAAATTAAATACGATAAGAAGTTTTTGCCGAATTTGATGACATATTTTGAACCAGATTACTATACATGTGGTTTTGTAGAGCTATTTTCGGAGGACCGAATCGTATAAAAGAAACTGAATCTTCATGTGCTAAGAGTCGATTACAGTTGCACGTGCTCTTCGATTTTCCTTAATGAATAATTTTCATCGTTGCTTTCTTCGCATTTTAAAGATAGTCTCTTCTCTTAGGTTCAGCATATTTCTGGATTACTTGATATTATTTCAGTAAGTTTAACTTTATCGAAAATTGTACACTATCGAGTTCTATGTTTTTCGTAGGCAACATCTTTTGAATCAATGGAGATTCATGATCAACTTGTACGATTGTTTCCTAGAATAGCCTATTTTTCTATATAAAATGACCTGAATAGTGACGATATTTTAACAATACTCAATAGTCTTATTAAAAATTTTTACTTATTAATTATCATCGAAGCATCTCTGATGAACCGACATAAATAACTTCTTTATAAAGGGAAAAAGCATATTTTTGTCTCCGAATCTCTGAACGGACGAGTAAGGATACAGGATTACAGGAAAGAGGTCTGTTACTATTATTAATTATTTTTCAGCTTTTTTTTTCTGAATATTCAGGTTTGATTTATGTACATTTCAAAAAATAAATTTTTCCTTTTTCCCTACATCCCATCCAGAGGTGTTGGAAGCCAAAAACTTTTTTCCATTTATAAAGACGTTATTTATATCGATTCACTAGGAATGCTCGGATGATTGTTGATATATCAAAGATTTTAATAAGACTAATGAGTATTATTAAAATACTGTCAATATTTGGGTCCTTTCATATAAGAAAATAGGCTACTCTAGAGGATAATTTCATACTTTAAAAAAATTGTATAATATTATGTGAGAAACACTGCTTACATAAGTTTATCGTAGGAACGATAATATGTATGAGTACCATAGATATATTTCTAAAGGATTATAACCAGTATATGAACTCTCAGCACATGAAAATTTGTTTTTTTTTATACGATTCGGCGCTCCGCCAATTGTTCTGCAAAACCATATACATGGCATCCTGGTTTAAGATTGGTCATCAGGTGTGGCAAGATCCTATATCAAATATTTATTTGTTTACCTCAGCATGAGTAAGTAAACCTTCGGTTGCTTCACGTAAAATATTTAATATTTTCGATAGAAAATCTTGACCACGATGTTGTTTCTCGCCAAAAGTACAATAGAGTGCATAGATTTCATCACGTGTCTTCGCTCGACTCGGTCGATCACGTCTAACAGCTGGTGTTGTTTCTTCAGCTACAGATCTAAGAAAATTGATTAGTTTAAATTTTCATTTTCAAATCGAAAGAACTAATTACCCTTTTTGAGATGAACTTCGTTTTTTCAAATTGGCACTTGATTTTTTTGTTTGTGATGAACGTGATGATGAAGCAGACGCTATTGAACGTGTAGTTATACCTATAATTATATAGATTGTATGTTTGTTTATTAATATGGAAAATTTTCTTTTTCAATGTAGCTCTTAAGAGTAAGATGATATATATTTCAAGATGCTTACTTGTGATGTTACTAGTCAAGTGAAAAAATAATTCTTTAACAAGAAAGATTTGCTTATTAAACAAGAAAATTTATCGTCTTATTGTAAACATATATAAATAGGAAAATCTCTTTTGTAGATCTATCAAGTAAACAAAAAATGAAATACACTCTTATATTCATTTATAAATGTAATGTACTGAGTTGTTTTTTTTTCAATAACTTCAGAAAACAAGTAGCTAAAATTGTGTGATTTTTCACCATTCGAAATAATGAAGTGAAGGATATGAGCCTATGTAGAAATCAATGGTTGTCCATATATAGAAAAATTTTTCGTCTGAATTAAGATTATCAATTATTAAAGTATTTTAAATACAAACCTAAAGCAGCAGGTATACCCGGTTCAACAATTTCATCCGATTCTTGTTGTTCACTTTTGCTATATAAAAAAACCAATACTTATTTAATTTTCGTTTTAAAACTTATGACATACTGAAGAAGAGTTCGAATAATTGAAATTGTATTTATATCTTCTGCATGTCCACCTGTGAGACCAGCCAATGAAGCTGAACCTATTTTATTTCTAGAAGATGATGTCATTCCAGGTGATGATATTGAAGCAAATTTAACTGATTTAACTTCATCTATATTACTGGTAGCACTAGCACTTATTCTCGATGGTCTTCGAGATATAGTTGTTTCCTCAGCATTGGAACCATTCAATAGATCGTGAACCAACTCCTCTATATTATATGGAAAATTAAAAATAAAAGCAAGAATACAGATGTATGGCACTACAAACCGGCCAACTCAGAATTTCCATATAAAAACTATTCAGTCACTAGTAAAAAGTTGTATCCGAATCGTTTGGCTATATTTTCAAGTGAAATGGAAATAATTTGAATCATTACAATATGGATTGCACAGTGATTGTCACTGATCTTTCTCTCTTATTTTTAACTTAAAAAATTTTTGTTGACATACCAATCGATAGTCGTTTTGAACTCTTGATAAAATGATACTGTTGCGTGGCAATAAACTTCAGAGTAAGATATTGAGATATGTACATAAAGCTTGCGAGCGGCAGAAAAAGGCACTTTTTCACTGAAATCTATTCCTTTTTAATTAGATCCTTTTTTCCGATTTTTTTGTATACGTACTCATATCATTTCTGTTTCACTTGAAAACGTCATCGAACGACTCAGTACAACTTTTTACTGATGACTGAGTAGTTTTACTATAGAAATTCTTAGTAGACCGGTTTGTGGTATTATATGCCGTCGTCCTTTTATAATAAAAATTTTTGAAATACCTTCTGAAAGTAATCCTTTATTTGTAAGTGTGGTCACCAGTGAAGCTGGTATAATTAATTCATTATTAAGACATTTTAAGTACAGAGCTCGTTCATAACTTGCTAAAATAATTTGTTGAAAAACTTCACGAACTTCACCTAATGTTGATGGCTATTTAAAATTAAGATTCAATTTTTTTTTGTCTTTTCTTTTTCCATTCTTACTTGTTTGTCAAGGTTTGGATTTAGAATAGAATCAATTTGATTTCGATATGATATAACAAGTTTTTTAAATGTAGTTGATTGTTGATTATTAGCAGCAACTTCACTTTTAATTTTCACTTGTGTTTCACTTATCCATCGATTTGAAATTTCAATAAATTGTAAATCTGTCATATGATTTTTAAAACTAAATTAAATAAAGTATTCAATAAATTTATTATTTTCAGATTTTTCTTTTACCGTTCTTGAAATTGATTCATTATTTTAGTTGCTTCTTCTAATTGTTTTTTTTCTAATTTTTCCATTTCTTTTAATATAGCTGTTTCAGCTTTATCTATTTGACCAGCTGTTTTTTCAAGTTTTTTTCGATAAATTTCAATTTCATCACGACTAAAATTTCCACCATCAGAAAACATTCTATATAAAAAGAAAAATTACAAAATTAATTTTTTTTTTAATATTTGTTTTTTTATAAATCATACTTAAATGATTTTCGAAATTTAACATTTGCTTGTCGTAAATATTGCATAGAATCATCAAAACGTTTACGAAAATTTCTTAACGAAATTCGAATGTTTTCCATAAATGAATCACGTTTTTTTGTTAAACGATCTTGTAATGATAAAAGACGACCACTTGTTGTTGCATTAACAAAAACTTGTTCTAAACCAAATATTTCATCTTTATATGTTAGTATTGATTTTGAAAATTCATTTAACATTCGACGATAATCAGCATCGGTTTGTTCTAATGTTTCTTGTACACCACGAATATGACGTTCAACTCGTTCATCATGCATCACAAGTTCAGCTAATAGTTTTTTAAGAGAAAACAAAATTTAAATAATTCTGTGAAGGTGTTTTCAAGTGAAAATGAAACTTGAGAATCATTATATTTGTTTTGCAGACCTAAGTTCTACATGATTTTTTCTTGCAAGAAAAGAAAATACATCTTTGTATACTATGAGAAATGACGACTAATGAAGATTCAAATATACAAGTAAGAATGGTTCTTAAAATAATTTGAAAACGTCAGCCGACAAGAATGCTCCTTTCTTGAGATATTAATCTTCTAAAAACTAAATATTTGCTACAGACATCTCAGAAAACATTGAATAGACTTGAAAATTCAATATCTCAGTAAAGAAACATTCTTTTCGTATGGAACTTTCATGATACTTTGTGGATCATTACATGTATCTATAAGTAAAATTTTAAGTCGAAATTTCTGTATTTGATTTTTCAGGTAATTAACATATGGATCAAACATTCAATACAACAGCCATAACTCGGCTCGAAAAATCCATGGACACGAACTTTTTAAAGCCTTTTCTAGTCTTACTACGATCTCCTCGTGGATCCAATTTGAGATCAAACAGCAGGTCATTAGTGGGGTACTTTCCTCTTATCAGGATGTAGGATACGAAAAAAGTCACTGTGTATACCTCTAATACTAAGACCTCGAAAGATATATCGGACAGATTTCTAATTAGAGAATCTTACCAAGTGATAAATAGCTTTTGAGATACATCTTACCTCATCGGGTAGGGATAATTGACAAAAGAGCAAGTCGCGCAACATAATACCTTGGAAATCAAATTTTGAATTCAAACTTTTCATAAATAAAGTTCTCAATGGCTTTGTTAATCGTACATGTATCAGATTAATAAAAAGTATTAGTCACAACTCAATAATCCTTTCAGGTTTTCTCAAATCTCGATATGCCTGTGTCTCATCAACTAGAGACTTTGTAGGATCACATTTTCATGAATTCAGAGCTCTTTATTTCTAACAGTTTCTTTCTTTTGCTTCAGTATAGCAAATCAAAAACTAGAAATGCTCTATTATTTAGCAAAATGGTCAATTTGTGGTATAAAATCAATTTCTATTTATTCTTTCTCATTTAACTGTTGATAAATACATAAAATCATAAAATATATATGATTACCTGCTCGAACATTATGAATATCAGTTTCAATACGTATTCGTCTTGGTTCATGTAAATGCATTTGAAAATCCATTTCTTTATCAAGTTCATCATGTTTTGTAAACATAACAGCTTCAGCTCGTCGTGCTGTTTCTTCTTTCCATTGATCATAATAATCAAGAAAAGCTCGACATAAACTAATATAAAATTTAAAAAAATCAAATTTTAAAATAAAAACAGTTTTTTATTGTTACTTTGACGTAATTGATTGAACAAGGTTTGATGGTATTTGAAATGATTTATAAAATGGAACTGTATCTGTTTCTATTATTGATGATGTATCTTCGGTAATGAATGTTTGTGTTTGTACTTGATCAGGATGATAAGATGCACTTCCAAGATGATTTCGTTCATCAGGACTACTTCTTTCTGTTGATGGTACATCTTCATTATCATCAATAGCTGTGCTAACTTGTGCGAAATCTGATTCATGACTTGTAATACCTTCAATTTCATAGGTTATTCCTGCTAAAGATGTTGTATAGAATTGTCGATTAACATTTGATGATGATGATGATAAATTAGGATCATCATCATTAGTTTTAGGTTTCTCTCGTACATGAAAATAACCAAGCATTTTCATTTTATATTGATTAACTTCTTCGGCAATCATATCAAAATATTTATTTACAATTGAATGTTCCATATCATAAAATTGAGCATAACTAAAACAAAAAAAAAAATTATTTACTGTGATGAAGATTTTCTATGCTTATTTTTCTTGTCTTATACCTTGCTTTAATTGTATCAAGTTGTTCATACGCTATAGTTAAAAGACGACTTAATGTAGTTTCATTTGATGCACTACGCATTTCATCTAATGTTGCATCAAGTTTAATTAATTTTTTCTAAAAAATGTAAAAGATTTTTTTGTTTTCTTAGATAAAAAAAAATATATTTTACTTCATTTTGAATATCATGTGGTCGTCGACATTCATGCATCATATCAAGTAATTGTGCAGTAACATGTTCAAGTCGAAGTTGATGATCATCCCATTGTTCAGCTGGTGTTTGAATATATGCTAATAAACGATCGATCATCTTATACATTGAACTTGTTAATCGTTTATATACTGTCTATAAGAGATCAAATCATTTCAAATACATTAGGAAGATCTATTGAAGTTAAGAATCGATAGAAATCTTGAAATCTAGAAATTAACGTTTTGTCTTAATTTGATGGTATTGTAAGAGAAAGATTTATATTATTCTATTGAATTAAATTTGTCTAACTGTGGTAGAACTATGCATACACTCAAACCTAATAAAAGACAAACGGAGAATGATAAAATGGATTGATTTATTTAATAAGAGACCTTTCATTTAACATTCTGGAGAATCGTTCCTCTAATTCAATTTTCTGCTGATAGAAAAATGTTGTGTCAATATGGTTCATTATAGGGGAGCATTTTCTTTCATTTAAGAAGAGGACGATCCAAACGTTTTCGGTACATCCTTAGATAGAACTCATCACCAATCCAGTGGACTATATTCTAAAAGTAACAGTCAATCATTAAGATTTACCGAAAAATATCTAGTGTATGTTAGTAGCAGAAAGTATTTCGTATCTATCACCCCTTTTAGATCGCGTTTCTTTTTTTTGTCAATGAAAAATTGTCTTACTTCAGCTTGATCAATTACTGTTTCTTGTAAAAATTGTTTTCGTTCTTCAAATAGCGGTTTAATGTCTCGTTCAAAAACCATTTCTATTTGTTCAGTATTATATACTTGAGTTTGAAGTACTTTATCCTATTGAATAGAATGAAATTTTAATATTTATTGAATTCCTTCTTTGTTTATCTTTACTTGAATTGTTTTAGATTCTTGTTCTAATATACTTATTTCATTGTCTACGATTTGCATTATTTGATGTATAAGCTCTTGTCGTTGATGAACAATATTATTTACTATATCATAACCTTGTTTATGCCATTTTTCGGCATTTTCTTTTGTTGATACAGGTGGAACAAATGTACTATTAAGGAATAAAAAAAACCGAGTCTTTCGAGATTCAAATTTTAAAAAAATTTTTACTTTAACATATTAATATGCTCAACAAAATGACGTGTTTGTTCAGTAATATTTTCTCCGATTGGTTCACATGTTGATGAAATTGTTGGTTGTAATTTTGCTTTACATTGAGATAATTTAGAACTAAAAAATTAATCATGATAAATGAAATAAAAATTTTTAGTGTTCAACAAAATTCATCATTAGGATTAACCTTCAATATTTTTCAGATATTACTTCTCGACTTCATACTTTTGCTGTGTGTAGATTTTTATGGATTAAAAACCCTCCGCTCGGTGATTCTCCTGTGCGAAAACTGAGTTTATATGATTATAATCATTAATCTCATCCAGGCGGCATGAGATCTCAATACAAACAAACTATTAATACAGATTTTTTTCGACAGTTTTTAATGTTGTGATGCTGATATTTAACCAAAGCATGAGGTCATATGACCTCTGCAACATGGCGATCAGTTATTATCACGAATCCAAGTTTCCATGCTTCGATATTAATTTTTTGAAACTATTTAAAAAATTTTTTTTTTTCCCTTGAAAACAACCTTTTGGATGGGCCAGAAATGATAGTACTATGTGTATTTTCTTTTTATCTTATCCGCATTTTGTAGGTAGAAACCTACACTTAATTTCAAGTAATCTACTGTTTAATTCTCTATAAAATCCCAATAGGACACTAGCAGCCTGCCGGGAATGTCCTAGACATTCACAGGGACTCACCTTTGTAATACAGAGGTGGGAGGCGCCCCTGGGCTACTGGTAGCCGATCGTCTCAACAACAGGCCAGCCACCTGTTAAAGGGACATTAAACATATCTGGCTAACGAAAAAGATCAAAGTCAGTGCGTTAATGCACTTAAAACAACATTCTTTGGTAGTTGGAATGTGCGATCGTGTTATCGTCAAGCAAAGAAAGAACTTATTATAAAACAACTTCAAAAATATCGAATACAAGTAGCTGCACTTAGTGAAACGGCAATGTATGACTCTGGCGTTCAAAATATTGGTGAGTATACTATGATTTTTTCAGGTCAATCAAGCATCAACAAAACACGAAATGCTCACGGAGTGGCTGTATGTTTAAATAAACAAGCAACAATGGCATGGCACAACAGTGGAAGTGTATGGGAAGCTGTCAGTGAACGAATTTTAATGGTTCGACTTGCTACGTCTCCAGTCAATGTTACAATAATTGCTATATACTCGCCGGTGAATCCAAATGGTCAACAACATGGAGCGGAAGCAGTGGAAATATTTTACGAAGATCTTCAGCGAATCGCCGATAAAGTTTCACCACACGATCTACTTTTACTAATGGGCGACTTCAACGCACGAGTAGGAAAACAACAACACCAGACAAGTGGCAACATCGTTGGTCCTCATGCAGTAGATCGTATCACTGAAAATGGCGAACGATTAATAGATTTCTGTACGGTGAACAATCTCGTCATATCAAACACATTCTTTGAACACAAATCGATACACAAAATGACATGGATGCACCCTCGAAACAAGAAATGGCATATGATTGATTATATTATAGTTAACAAGAAATTCAGATCAAGTATTGAAGATGTCCGAGTTCAGCGAGCAGCAGCTGCTGCTGTAGGAACAGATCATCACCTTATTCGAGCAAAACTCCGGTTCCATCTTAAAAGTCGAAAGAAACTTAATCAACGTCGACCATCACGATTAGACAGAAAGAAAATGCAAGATATCCACCGGGTCGAACATTTCCAGCAAGAACTCGAAAGAAGACCAACAACAACCAGTAGCAACACAATGTCTATCAATGACAAATATTCCGAGTTTGTTGAGTATGTCAAAAAGGTAAGTGTAGATATATTTCAGCAACATGGTAATGGTATACAACGTAAAGAATGGCTTACGGATGAAATTATCGAGGCTGTAGAAAAGAAAGCAAACGCATTTATTCAATGGCAAAATCATCGAGGCTCCAGGGCAGAACAAAGATATCTTCAAAAGTACCGATTACTGAGAACACTTGTCAAAAAGAAGATTCAAGATCGACAAGTGCAATATTGGGATGAACGAAGTCAAGACATTGAAACGGCTATGAAGAAGAATGATCCAGCGACAGCGTATAGATTAATACGACAACTTAAAGGTAGGTGTGCAAATATTGAACATCATCCAGTACAAGACACCAATGGACAGCTATTAATATCTTCAACAGCAAGGCTTACCCGATGGAAAGAATACTTTCAAGACCTACTCAACGTACCAACAAAGGTCAATCCTCTCATTATACAACAAATTACACTAGCCATTATACCAAGTCACGAAGAACTTCGACAAAGCATGACACCATCACTTATTGAAGTGGAACAAGCTATCAATAAAATGAAAAGTGGAAGAGCACCAGGAATTGATGAAATTTCCGCTGACATCCTTAAGGTAGGTGGACCTCCAATGGTCAAATGGTTGCACGAATTTTTTGTAGACATATGGAATAATGAAGAAATGATCGACGACTGGACAACAGCTATCTTGATTCGTCTACACAAGAACAAAGGCAGCAAGGCAATATGCGATAATTATCGAGGCATCTCCCTTCTGACGGCCACAAGTAAAGTCTTCTCGAGAATCATCTTGAATCGAGTGAGCAGCGTGCTTGACAAACGACTTCTCGAAGAGCAAGCTGGTTTTAGACCGAAACGATCGACAATTGATCAAATCTTTACGCTGCAAATGGTTATGGAAAAAACACATGAACTGAACAAACCTATGCACATGTGCTTCATAGATATCCGAAAGGCATATGACTCGATTCATCGACCACTTCTATGGCAAATTTGCAGTCACTATGGAATATCAAACAAGATCATCCGTATGTTGCAATTAATGTATACCAACACAAAAGGTCAAGTCAGAATCAACGGTGAACTCTCTCCTGGCTTCCAAATTGAAACTGGAGTGTTACAAGGTGGCATTTACTCACCAATATTATTTAATGTATTCTTCGATTTTGTTATCCGACGTGTTATTGAAAAAGCTGGTATTCTTGGTATAAAAGGCATCGAACTGGCATATGGTAGCAATGATTTCTTCCATCCTGATGGTGAAGGTTATGTAACATTCAATATATTGGTATTAATGTACGCTGACGATCTGGTAGTCATGTGTTCCAATAAAGCCGATCTTAAAAAATTCATGTATTTATTTGAAGAAGTAACACAAGAATGCGGACTTATAATGAATATCAGCAAAACTTGTATTATGTCGCTCCAGCAGTACGAACAAGATGGTACAAGAAGAGTTATAAAAAATATCGAAGTTGACAACACAAATATAGACATTAACATCCGCAATGAAAAAATAAATGTTGTGACTGAATTCTCCTATCTCGGTTGCCATGTTACACAAGATCAAACAATACAGAAAGAAATTGAAACGAGAATATTGAAAGCATCAAAAGCCTTCAATGCGCTTCGTAACATAATTTGGTACAGGAAAACAATATCAATTCCAGCAAAACTGCGAATTTTTCGCGCCTGTGTAATTCCAGTTCTTTTATATGGAAGTGAAACATGGTCAACAACGATTGTACAAGAACGAAGACTCAATGTTTTCTACTTGAAATGTTTGAGAACCATCATAGGCATCAACTTGGGTGATCGAATGTCAAACGACAAAATTCTACAACTCACCGGACAACCAGGAATCAGTGAATTGATTAGACGTAATCGACTCCGATGGTTCGGGCACGTAAATAGAATGGAAAATGCTGATAGCAAAACGTCAATCGTCAAAAAATGCATGTACTCTTATTACCCAAAATCTAAACGTCCTCGTGGTATTGGCAATAGAAAAACATGGTCAGATAAAATTATGGACGACATCACGAAATGTGGAATTCGAAACTGGAGGAAAGAAACAATGAACCGCGACAAATGGAGAAAAACAATAAACAAAAATGCATATATTAATCCACCTGCATCTAATATAATCAATGTTATTCAAGATTATAAACAACGTGCAGCCGAACGACGTGCAGAAGCGAATATGAAACAGCCACGTTGGAGAAAAGTAAGCGAAGTCTTAACTCGTACAAATAACAACGATTACATTTGCCCAAAGTGTAAGAAGCATTTCAAACCGCAAGGCATAACAAACCATGTGCGATCGTGTGCAACGTCCTGGTGTAAACAAAACAAGATTCGGACATAAAGCATTTACTTGGTGATAAAGCTGAATACTAGCTATCATGCGCGCCATGATGAAAACTATCGAAACCAAGTCCGCAAGAGTTGGAGATAGTTTTCGGAGAAACAGCTATGATCTCGAGTATTCGCCGACAATCAAGCATAACAAATACCGAAGAACATCAAGAGACTCATAGACTTTACTTTACTTTCTTTCTCTTTTCCTTTTTTTTTTTTTTTTTTTTTCTTCGCCTTTTTTGTTCCATTATATTTTATTACGCTTTCGTTGTATATACTATACATTGTACTTTGATCTTCACCCCACACTGAAAGGTAAGGGTATATTAAATAAATAAAAATAAAAGGACACTAGATTTCATCTTCAAAGTTATTGAATGAATTGAACAAACTTGAACTTCTCCAATATGTACCGATTTCTTGAGAGTGTTTCTCAAACGATTGTCGGTACTTTTTCACTTCTTTTTGGGGTAGGCATGACATGGTACAGAAACTTTATTGTGGCAATAGACACAGTTCTTTGTCATGAAATACATTTACGGACATTTCTAAAGAAGATTATCATATTTAATGAAAATATTTATTTTTACTGAGTACAGTTTTCAACTTTTATCAAGAGTGTTTTAATTCTTAAGAGTATCACACACTATATCTTCTATGCTCGTACTTAGTTGAGTTTCTGAAGAAGTCTTAAAAAAACAAAATTCTTTATTTATAGTTTACACATTACAAAAGATAAATGAATCAATAACTTACATCCAAGTTTGTTTGTGAATAATCCACATAGCATCTCTCCATTTATTTTGATGATTGATCAGTTCAGCTCGATAACGATGAACACGATCAGTTTCACCTGTTAATAATCTTGCTTCAAGTTCAGTATATATTTTACGATTTTCAATTATTTGTGTATTTAATTCCTAAAAAAATCAATTTTTTTTTGAAGTATTTGATTATTTCCAAATATTTACATTCACTTGTTTTTCTAATTGAGAAGCTGTATCTTCATCTGATAAATGATGGGTTTTATAAAGACGTTCAGAATAATATTTAAATAAGTCACGAATCTAGACACACATGTTAATGCAAAAAACAAAAAAAGTCTTTTCGTAGAAAACAAACTTCACGAATTCGTTCCATTTCAAGTCCTTCAATTGTTTGACAGTAATCTTGAATTTTAGAAAGTCGTGGTGGAAGAAGATTATCAAGATGTTCAAAGGCACTATCAAATGATTGAATTGTTAAATTTGTAATTTCCTAAATAATTAACAAATTAAATATTTTCGAGTTACCACCAGTAGATGATCTTAATTCTGAAACGTTAGATGCATTTATATGCACAACTATGAAGAATATTAAAACTGAAATAATAGTAATATTAATGTATTAGAGTATTTATATCAGTATCAAACTAAAACTTAAATGGAGACACATAAATGCACTACTCTACCGAAGAATCAGATCTATAATAGTAGAAAAACATTTTCTCTCTTGTAGAAGGTTCTAGAAATCTCAAATTTTCCGATAAGGTTGACATTGGCTGTCCTCTGAATGAAGTCACGATTCATTACTTCAGCATTATTGCTAAGTATTTATTCTATCATGTCTTTTTCAGATGATCTAATGAGTAGGCTAGTAGTATGAAATTGTTTCTCTATTTTAGTATTTGTTTCGATTGAACTGAACGACACGAAAAGATAATGAACAAATTGTTTCGTTCGGCTAACAACAGATATTCGTCATACATTAAGATATCGAAACAGAAACGAGTCCTAGTGAATATGAGTTCAGTATGGCAGTGCTCGAATAAAGTTGGACTGACATAAAATTGAATTCATGTCAAAGCCATTGATCATAAAACTCCTGACTTCTGTAAAAATATTAATTCGAAAATGTTTCAAAGAAAGAGAAGGTATAGCGAATCATTCAGTGTCCTATCTCAAAATCAAGACTTCAGTTGTATCAATTTTTGTGAACAAAACTTAAATATGGAATTCATATGATTTAGTCATAATTCGTCATTGTAGAAACTACAAAAAACAAAAATCCTTCGATTTGGTTCGTGTCAAAACTATTTGATAAACCATTCTTATAAAATTTAAAAAGAACTAGAAAATTTTTTAAAGGATTCGTACCCATGAGCCTCTGAAACCGATTTATGACCGGTTTACTAAATTTTAGACTCAATGTTAAGTATTTATTGGAAAATCAAATAACTAAGTTTCGACCTATAAGATCTTATGACTAACCGAATAGCCTGAAATTTTCAGCAGAAAAGAGTGTTCAGTTGTCGAGATACGGAATTTACAACAAATAGTCACTTGCAACAGACACGTGATAAGTATCGAGTTTACTTTGAACTTTAATATCTCGACAAAGGAATATTCTTTTCTGCTTAAACTGTCAGAATATTACTAGGTTTATCTATGAACAAAATTGCAGATCATTAGAGATCCATACGCATAAACCCTTGGCGGCTTTTTCTAGTCTTATCGAGCTCTCCTTGTGGGCTTAATTTGAGCACAAATGGTGAGCTACAGCTCTGATAATTTCCTCTTTAGCATACCATCGAAATGTATTAACTGTAGACTTTTTTTCACAAACGAAACATACTTTTTGATAAATCATTGTTTGTAAATGATCAACAATTTCTACAATAAAATGTTGAAATAATTTTCTTTTTAATTGACACTCTATACCGTTATCGCCATGTTCATAAAAGATATTGCATTCTCGAGTTATTCCTTCTAATTCGTTTAATAAACTCTATGAAAAAGAAAAGGAAATATTAAACTTTTCTTTATGAATTAAAATACTTGATTTAATTCTGATATTTTATCTAATAATTCATTCCATAATTGATTAAATTTAACTTGTCGAGTAGCTGCTAATCTTTCAGTAACATTATTCGCAGTGCTTTCATCATTTTCAATTTTTTCTATTTAAAAATAAAATCTTAATTAGTTGTTTTGTTAGAGAAAAAAATATATATATAAAACAAACCATGTTCGATATTATCAGGTAAGTTAAAAACTTCTTGTTTCAGTTTTTCTAGTTCTTCTTGTTCTTCATTTTGACGTCGGTTTTTTTCATCACGAAAACTAGATTCAAATTACAAAAAAGGATTAAAAAAAATAGAATTTATCTCACAATATTGCTATTGGATTGATGGTTGGATCATTGTCGAATGGTAAACCCGAGAGCCATTGTTGTTTTTGATATTCTAGATTAGAAATTGAAAATTTTATCTGTTTTGACGTTCTAATCGAATTCAGATGAAAATTAAATCCGTACATTATCGAATTGAGACTCAATTTTGTGGGAAACGACGTAATATTTTTCAAGTTGAAACTTTGCGGCTCACCTTTATACGAATGGGGGCGATAAATGCTTATGATCATTATCATAGACGGTGTAACGTTTCGGACTTAGGGTAAGGTAAATGATCCTTATAAGATCCTCTCCGAGAACTTAAGAGTAGACAGGAGTAGAATGAGCGAATCTGCCTACATCATTTAGATAGAAAAAAGTTTGTGCTTCTTATTTTCAACTCACATATTACATCGTATCGAGCTAGTACGGTTCAGAAAGAAACTCGCAACTTGTAGTTTATCTAACTCTAGTTTTTCGTACAGTTTTTTACTTCTAACGAAGGAGTACTATTTCAAGCCGTTGCCACTGTAGGACTCAACATCCAATAATAAAAAATTCTATTTCTCTCAAGAACGTTTTTTGAGTCTGCTTCACTAAGAAAAGTTACTATTTAGCAGTGAAAAATCGTGGTATTTGCTGAAGAATTTCGATGCACTACATACAATTTATTGATCTAATTCAATGAGAAATAAATTTTTGAACCCATCTTAGACTACAATGCCAGAGTCTGGGTTAGGCTTTAGCTTACCCAAGTCTCCTGGCTCTACCGCCTATAATCATTAGGTATGTTTTCATAATAACTGAGGACAACAAACGTCTGAGTCTTTCCTTCAGTTTCTTAGCAACGAAGAAAAGTGATGAACAGCATTAATAAGATTTAGAATGTTCTAGAACATTTTAGAGTCTTTCTCAAAATTTCAGTGGTTGAAATACGTTTGTGAATGTTCTAAATAGTACAGTTTTTCATTTTTACGCAGAAAAACAAATTTATATTCTACATGTTAAGTACAATGGGTAGTAATGCATTGATTTTCTAGTCTTAATATCATTCACATAAAAAGTGTGAACTAATCAATTTATAAAATTGGTGAATAATTAATATCAGTGTTTTTGAGCTTATTGAGATATAAAATAGTATAGTTAGACCTGCTGTAGGCATAATGAATATGTACTGTGAGGTTAATTGATAGTTAAATCAATAGTTAGAATAATGATACTTATGAAAATGACAAGGAACATTGCAAATAAAAAATTGAGCGATAGTAAAAATTAAAAACTTTCTATTCGAAACGTCAAAATAAATAAGATAAGTCGTTTTTGTTTGCAATAGATTACATTTGGAAAATAACCAACGTTTGATAGAAATTTTGCACCTAACATGTCTTGTATTTGTGTCATTTGAGACTAAATATCACATGTGGTTCATACATCTTAGTCCCAAAGGGGCTGTACTGTGACGTTTTTTGGGCATTTTCAGAAAACATTTCTGTTTTAGGTTCAATCCTTGAAACAGAAATGACTTTTGGATGAAATATTATTTTTTAAGAAAATTAGCAGGCAATGAAAATCATTTATTATTCTTCTATTCTTGATCTTTCCCGTGTCTAGCAATGTCAATACGGCCTTGTTTTTTCAATAGACGTACCAAAATATTTCTCACGTGACGGTGACTTCTAGTTACTCATTACGAGTGACTTCATAAGACCCTTTTCTTTTTACATCTATGATTCCACTAGCTGAAAGTGTGATTATGAGTTTTCCTCATCCAAAACGTCTATGTAGATAATTTTACGGTAGTATTTAGAATTCAATAAAAATGAATAATCTCACTCCAATCATTTTCAATAGAACCTGTATATATACATTATTTATTGCAGATTGATCAATAGTTACATACAGTAAGGTAAGGTAGATTGTTCTTATCTAACGCTTCCAACAAGAGTCTAAGAACATGCTCCTATTGCTAATCGATCATTCATATTTGTCGAAATGTAGTTCGTTTCATAATCGATTCGGTAAAGTATGATTATTTAGAATGAAATTTATTTTTACCGAAACGAACTTCTTTCAAGCTCCACTCAGATCAAGTTATTCAGAAAAAAATATCAAGTGTATATCTAAGAATAATATAAATAGGAAAATTACCATGTGGTCTAATATTTCGTACAAGTGGTGTAGCATCTGGATGTGCAGTAATATTAACAGGGTTAGCAAGTTGATTTTCTCGTACTCGATTATAAGTTTCACTTAGTTGTACCTATTAAAATTAAACATATACATTGGCTCTGAACAGTATTCGATCAGTTTTATTTTCAATTTTTTTTTACAATGCCATCAATGCTAATAAGAATCGAAATAGTAATTTATATAAAGAATTTTATTTTCGATGATGAAAATTCATCTTGAAAAAAAAAATTCGCTAAATAAATCACTCTTTAAATTCTTATTAACATTCACGACAATGAAAAATAATTGAAACTAAACTTAGTCGAATAATTTTGCGAGCTACTTCATATAAATATTACGGGAGAAATTAAAATTAAGGTAAAATTTGAATATTCCTGAACACATGATATGAACTTTATTATTTTTATATTTCAAAAAATACGAAGATCAAACTAAACATTTTGAACAAAGTTTTATTTTTGGATTACTGACATTTTGAACCGCACTATGTTTTTACTATCTAAATGATAACATTTTCTTGTTGAACAAATTCCATTACTTAAGGGTACTTCTTCCCTTATCTTTTAGACTACTTATGATTCTTTGTAAGAATAAAACTAGTCAGACTCAAAGTTTTGCCACAATTATTTGATATAAAAAATATTTTAATTTTACCTATAGGAAAAACTAAAATATGATAATTTACAACACGTGTTCAGGAAATATTTATAGACCGTCCTATAGGAAACACTGACATTTTAAATTTTTCTCAATTTTAATTTCTCCTATAACACTAATAAAAATATTTGTATAAAATTTTTACTTGTGCATCAAATAATTGTCGATAAACTTTATTATTTGGTAAAATTCGAACAGTAGCTGTAGCAGATGATGTAGCCATTCGTATTCAATTTATCCGTTCAAAAAACATACGTCCTTCGTATTCACCATTAGATAAGCTTTAAATTTCGTTACTAAGCAACAATCTCTATTTTTCTATGAATCATATCGGATGTTTTATTTTTAGAGGTTTTATTATTCATAATAATGGCCGCTATCAACCGATAGTAATCTATCTTTTTTCTTTTCCTTTTCCTTGTTCTTTCGCAAGGATCAATGTTCGTTCTTCGTACATTTTTATGTATATGTATGTTTTTATGTAAATGAGGGCATGATACTCAAGTCTAGTTGATAAATGATCAGTATATTTGCCTTGAATGAAAACCTTGTAGTAACAATAGTTTTAAATAATTTTTTTTTAATCGATTTTTATTTTTATATTCTTTGTTTCTTTTTTTTCTTTTTTTGATTTCCCTTCCCCGGTGATTCATCGGTAGCGTAAAATGGAAATTGATTTTGCTCCATCACATAATCCAACATTATTTGGTTCATTATCCGTATCACCACCAACATCAATGTTTGATGCATTTTCACCATTAATTCATTTTAATGATGATTTTTTGGATGTATTAAATTCAACAAATTCTAATGATGATGTTGAAGATTGGATGAAACCATTATTATTTGATCAATTACTTGAACATGATTTACAACAAAATTTTCTTAATTTTAATGATATTGATATAAAAGAAGAAACACAAGATAATGAAAAAGATAAATTCAATAGTTGTTCATTACTTATTCAAGATAAATTAAAATTAAATAATTATTCTCAATCACAAGCAACAATACAAAAGAATGATTTAATTGAATTTTTAAATCAACATTCATCTGAACAACAATTACCACCACCATCATCATCAACAACAACTACAACGGTTCGTTTAATACATCAAGCAAAAATTGAACCAATGGAAATGCCAACAACATTATATGTTAGTGGTAATGAATTACAATTTCATCCCATAGTTACATCAAATAATAATGGAAAAACAATAGGTCATACATATACAAGTAAATAAAACATCTCTATATTTTAATCAATTTAAATTACTCTTTAAAAATAAATGAAAATTCTGAGTACATATTTTGTAGAATTTTTCTACAACTTAAATAAAAATTTCATTATGATGTTCATTTTCTTTTTTCTGTTGTTGAATTATTGTAAATAATTCGTGTTTCTTTTTGTTATCAGCAACAACATCATCACCAACTCCATCAGTACCCATTCAATCATCATTACCTATTGTACCAGCACGAGTATTAAAAGGAAAAAAATTCAAACGAGGTGGTCGAGTTACATCACGAGCGTAAGATTCTATTTTATTATTTCTTTTTTTAACGAATTTAATCATGATTGATTTTCCGTCTTTTATTTTTAGAACATCTAGAAATACTGGAGCAGCTAAACGACGAATAAATTCTACAGGAGCTGGTAAATATATTTTTATAATTGTAAAAATTGAAAATTCTTTAATTTATTGCTTTAGAACCCAAAGCTAGTGTTGTTATAATAGCTGAAGATGCAACACGAATAGATTCTAAAACAACTACATTAGGTTTAAGTTCAACAAGTAGTAGTGATACAGATCTATTAAAAACATCTTCAGCAAACACAACACGTTCATCAACACGTCGTCGTATTAAATCAACACCACGTGAAGTTATTCTATTTCGTAATGGTACATTTATATCAAAAGAACCTATATCAAAACAACAAACACCAACAACATTATGTTTTGAAACAGCATCAACAAATAATACTTGTCATACATCACCACCACCATTACATCAACAACAAATAACAGCAACTGGTTTACAAGCAGCTGCACAAATTGTTGCCTGTAATGTACTTCGACAAGCAACATTAAATGGTAATTTTATTCAAGGATACAGCTGGATTAAAGCATAAATCTACTCTTATCTTAGGTTTCATTTTTCAATAGGTTAGAAAGATCGTGTAGGAAAATTTGCATATTTATGTTTAGTTATTTTTTTGGGGAAAAGCAAAGAAAAATTTTTTTCGAAGACTAACAAAAATATTAAGTGTTCTATCATTTTTGGATAAAACCTATGGTAATGATAGTTTTTTTAGTTTTGTAAATTCAATATGAAAATTATTAGTGTAAATCAACGTAACACTTTATACACTATAAAATTACTTGATGAGTATGAAAATTGATTAATTCATTCACGGTTGGACAGCTGCGACATTGTACCTATATGACCTCACATAAACTAAACGATAAGTGTAACTATTGTGTCATTTTGTAGAATATGGAAAAGTAGGTCGATTTTCAATATTAGCTTTTCATACTGAGTTTACAAAACAAAAACATTATGATTATCCTATTTTTACTCAAAATTAATAGATTCTCTCAAAGTATTTAGTTTTCGAAAAATATATTTTTTACCTTCTCCAAAAAGAAAAATGAATACACAGAAATGTGCAGAAGTTTATACTCGATCTTTCTAACCTGTTAACAATGAAACATAATAAGATGACAGATTTACGATCTAGTCTGGTTGTATTCTTTATACCCTAAAAAACAGAATAATAAATATTTTTATTTTTGTTTCTTTCTTTCAGATGCACTTATCGAACAATTGATCAAACGTGAGCCAGCAAATACAGATGATGATTCACCAATTTATTGTTACTCAACCCCATCTTTATCCTCACCATCATGCACAATGACAGCAGCAATGGATGAATATGAAAACAGTTGTTCGACAACATTGAAGATTCTTGGTTGTAACACAACTGCACCATTAACACCAACAAATACAACAACAACAACAACAATTGAATTACTTACATTTGCTGCCTTACAACAACGACAACAGCAACAACAACAACAGCAATATTGTTATATTAAACAAGAACCAGTTACAACAACAACAACAACAACATTTCTACTACCTCGATTACTTCCATAGTGAATGTATGAGTGTGTGTGTAGGTCAATTTTTTGTGATAATAAACAACATAACAGTAGCTACAGATAACGGTTTATACAAAAAAGAAAAAATGATTTTCTTCTTTTTTTCTTGGTTGTTTGTTTGTTTTGTCTAATTTTCTGTTCTTTTTTCTCATTGTTATTGTTTATGTTATTTCAGCATATTAACACACGTATGTGTGTGTTTTGTTTGACTGAAAATCATCTTTACTGTTATAACTGTATTACTGTGGCCATCTGTTTTTTATTTGGCTAGTATTGTTGTTGTTTATTGTTGTTCAAAACGAGAAAAAAAAAATATTAACTGCAGGGACAGTCAAAAAATTATTCTTTCTTTTTTTTTGTTTAATATTTTTTGTTCGATGGACTTAAGAGAAAAATTAAAAAAAGAATTGATTGATATATATGAGTTAACAATTGTATGCAAAATTCTCCAAAATTATCAAGAGTTTAAAAAGTAGATCTCAGTTAAATTTCTCTGTTTGTTTAAACTAAAATCGGCTGATTAAATTTTCGAAGGTTAACTTGAAATATGTAAAATGAGATAGTACAATTTTTATTTTGTCAACCATGAATATTTATATGAAAGTAATACAAATTCATGAAGAGAATTTTCTTGCAAAATACATTTGAAAAGATGAAAAAGTTTAATTTTAATAATTATCTTATTTTATTATGATTGTAGATATGAGTTTAATCGTCTGATGAATTCACTCTGCTTTTACTCTTTTTTTTTATCAAAACATCATACGAATAGTTACTCGTTTGGAAAATTTCAAATGGATAGACTATCGTTTATATACTTCGTTTGCAAAATAAAGGTATTTTATATTGTGAATGTAAGAATACACACGTATAAATCAAACAGTTCACTAATTGTGAAACATCTTCAGAAACCAAAGGGAAAAAACTGAATTTTCCTACTCACACTATTGAGAAAAAAACAGTAGCTATAACAAATAATCGATTGCATTCTTTCAAAATTATTGCATATACTGAGAATGAATCATTTAAAAAATCAGAGCTCACAAGTAAAACAGAAATTCGATCCTAAGCAAATATTTTGAAAAATCTATACTGACTTTATAGAGTTTTACTTGATCAGATGTATCAAAGTGTTAAAGTTATTCATAAATCTCTATGAAAATGATCATGAAAATAAAATCGAAAAGCATCAATTTTTTAAAGAAAAAAGAAATACGTAATTTTTCTAAATATTTTCATGAATAATTCATCAAACAATAACAAATGTATTTATTTTTCAACAGTGGGAGTGAGTGTAAAACGACAAGTATTGATAAGACCACTTTTTCACCAACGAAATTTGTTAAAAAGAATGACCTCTTTTGAGTCATTATAATATTTTGAGTAAAATATGAAGTGCCTTTCTTTTCTGTCGAAAAATAACTTTCATTTTTCACTTATATGCTTTTGCACGTGTAGGGGGCTCCAGAACAGTGGGAAAGTTGGTTTTTCTGAATTTACTGAATCATACATCACTCGATCCAGAATTTGATATTGATTTCAATTATTAGGTTACACATCGAACACAATAGAAATTCGATCGTGGAGAAAAAAAACAAGTTTACTGTAGGGTGCTAATCGAGGGCTATGTCCAGTTCTCGTTGTCAGCTGTTCTATCAAGGTCATTAAGTGTAAAAATGGGATTTAAAGTAGAGTTTTGAGTAGTTTTAGAGTCACTTGGTGAGAAATATAGAATGATGAAATGTTTAATCAACGAGAGACATATATGCATCGTTATAGTTTATCAAACTCTATTTAAGTATGAAATTGACGCAAGAGAGATATTTTTAGGTCAGATCTTCAGAAATTTTCGATACAGTCATCCTCATTGGCATATCTGAAAACTTTTTCCTACAAGGTTTTTATGATTGTTCACTCAAATTGATAACGAAATACACAGGTTTTTTTTACGCAGCTAAAAAATTAACTACTTCAGAAATCCATTTGCAACTAGTGCTTATCTCTTTATCAATTTGAGTAAAAATCATGGAGACATGTAAGAATAAATTTCAAGATA